GGAACTGGAAAAAACTTGAAGGAACTAGAAGAAACTGGAAAAAACTCGAAGGAACTAGAAGAAACTGGAAAAACTTCAAAAAATTGAAAAACCTAAAAAAACTTTAAAAATATTTATTTTAAATTCTTGTTGTTATAAATTATCATCATCATCATCATCATCATCATCATCATCATAATCATCATCACGTTATCTTAGTCAATGTCTTATTGCACCTCAATTTATTTATGCAGTATTTATTATAAATAATATATTTGTAATTATAATTTGTATATTAAAACATTTTGTTTTAAATATCATACATGTCACATAATCAAACCTATTGTTTCTTTCATGATTGACATTTTATTTTCATTGAATTCCTATTTTTGGAATAAAAACATAGAACTTTTTTGTTTACATTTTTTATGTTTTACTCATATTTTAGTCTTTTCCTCTAAGCTCTTTTAACTTACAATTTTTTTTATAAAAATTAGAAAAATGGGAAATTTTTAAGTAATAAAGGGAAAACTGAGATGTCTTATAAAAAGTTATATTAATAAAACATTCAATACAATTATTTTATCCATAATTTTTTTAGTATAATTTAACATATTGATGTTTTCCTGTTTTATCATGTAGACTAATATACAAAAAATGTCTTATTCATATTAAAAAGCTGGAAAAAAAATAATAAGTGTGAATCGTAAAAATAGTGAGAAGAAAAAAAAATAATTTATAAACTATAGTTATGATTATAACAGTTGTAATCATAATAATAATAATAATAATAATCACATTAAAATATATCATTTTTAAAGTAATTGGTTAGGGAGTAGAAAGAATTTGATGAAAATGAGAAAAGTTGGAAGACACTAGAAGAACTAGAAGAAACTGGAAGAAACTGGAAAAAACTTGAAGAAACTGGAAAAAACTGGAAGGAACTAGAAGAAACTGGAAGTTAAGAATTCAAGCCCTAAAGAACAGGCCCTTAGTCAACATTTTGGATTTATCTCTATGAGACTTATCCTGATTGTAATATTGAATATTTAAACATATTTCATTTTGGCCCAAAGCCCAACAAATATTTATTCTTAATCAAAACAAATTTGATTAATTGATTATTTATTTATTAATAATTCTAGGGTATATTTTGGGGCGTTACACTATCTTTAGTTTTAAATTGTTTTGTGGATATTCTTCAAATTAAAAAGTGAGGCTTTCTCCTCAATACGCCTCGAGGTTTACGCACTACGCCATGAAAAGGAAACGCCTCGAAACCACAATACGCAATTTCAAACATTGATGGTGATGCTTCGAAGTTGAAAGACTTGGCAATTCAAATTCTCGGCCAAACAACTTCTTCTCTTGGTTGTGAGAAAAACTGTAGCATTTTAGAACGAATCCTGATACGAATATCGTATCGGATAGGGAAGAACTTCAAGCGTTCTTCAAGCTCCAAGACGGGGAGGCAAGGAGAGAAGGAAAACTTCGAGCGTTTTCGAGCTCCAAGAAAAGAGAGACGAGAGATTAAGATAATTATTGATTATTGATTGATTCCATAATAACGGGAAGGATTACAATATATAGAGAGTAATACGATACGCTAATTGACCTAATGGGCTCATGCCCATACTAAACCCTAAACCCTATTATCTAAATAATATTAAATAATAAATACTAATTAACTAATAAATAATTAAATATCCTAATCACCATACATATCATTCCCACCCCCTTAAAAACCACCTTGTCCTCAAGGTGGAAGCTCCCATTTGTGTTTTTGGACATATGACCAAATGTTGACCCAAAGGCGAAGTCTATCTCCTCACAATGAAAGCACCAATTGATACGAATATCGTATTGGATAGGGAAGAACTTCAAGCGTTCTTCAAGCTCCAAGACGGGGAGGCAAGGAGAGAAGGAAAACTTCGAGCGTTTTCGAACTCCAAGAAAAGAGAGACGAGAGATTAAGATAATTCTTGATTATTGATTGATTCCATAATAACGGGGAAGGATTACAATATATAGAGAGTAATAAGATACGCTAATTGACCTAATGGGCTCATGCCCATACTAAACCCTAAACCCTATTAACTAAATAATATTAAATAATAAATACTAATTAACTAATAAATAATTAAATATGCTAATCACCATACATATCAAATCCATACCAAAAAGAGAAATTTTTTAGAGCATCAATGACCTAATGATCTTGTGTATGTTCATTATAACCTACGATTTTAGAATAGCTATGTTTCGTACCGATTTATAATTCAATATACAAAATGTATACAAATCATCACTTTATTTAATACTCCTTCCGTCCCTCATGGATCTTCCCATTAGCCCTTTTTATTTGTCAACTATAGATCTTCTCATTACCTTTTTTAACAATTAAAATACCACAACTACCCTCACTTCATTTATTACACCTCACCTACCTCACTTAATACACTCCACCTGTTTTCATTAAAGGTATTATGGTAAACATTTACCTTTTTCAACTCTCCTTAAAATTAACAAAAAGTCAAAATGAGAAGATCTTAGGGGACGGAGGGAGTATTGTATTTAACTCATACACTCATTTATTTTCTCACTCCTTTCTAATTTTGATATTCATTCTCCAAGTATCTTTATCTTGTATATTGTTGTAGATGTAGATAATGAAAACAACAAAAATGAGGATAAAGAGCTCACAATTCTTGAAGAAATATGAGGAATCGATGGTGGGATGAATGGAAATATGGAATGGAATGATGATGATGGTTTTGGGGAATATATATTTTAATTACTTGTTTATCATTGAAAAACTCAAAAAATAAGGTGCATTCTTTGAGTTTTGGGTTTTCTTTAATGCCTTGCAGAGTATGTAACGCCCTAAAACTTGACTTAGTAATTTGCCGTTATTTTTAAATAAATTAATTTTATTTATGTTGGAATTAGTTATTTTGAATAGTTACTTGTTAAATACTCTTTTCGTCCCATTTTATATTGCCTTTGACTTTGGGGCATATTTAAGGAAATAAAAAAGTGGTGTTGATTTTTTAAAAATGCCTTACTTTTTTTACGGGTGTGGTGATAAATGAAAGGATAAGGTGAAGAGGAGTGACTTACTTTAGGGCTAGTTTATTTATTTAACCCTTAAAAGTTTATTATGATAAAAAACATGTAACTTATTTTGGGACGGACGAAAAAAAGAACATGCAATTTAAAATGGGACGGAGGGAGTATGAATTTTGTTATCTGAATGTGATTCAAGACATGATTTGTTTATTAAATAAATAAGAAGAATTTATTTTTTTCAAGTGCCTATCATTATTAAATAATTAAAAATAATTAATTAATGGTTGAGATAGACCTGAAGTGAGAAAATAAAAAAAATTGTGAGTACAAACTTTTTAATATACCATTATTATAGTTTTGGAAATCTCGTTTCTCGAAGGCGATTAGAACCTTACCTGGGAATGTAGGGGGAAAAGTGCATTGTTCCTCTTTTTTGTGTTATAAAAATTTAAGTAAGTCATAACGTCAAAATTATATATTCAATATTAGTATCGTTGGGTAGATTTTATAAAAAGACGATCGACGACATATTAGTTGGTAACTATGAACTTATGCATATACAGTTATGAACGAATTAGACGTTACAAATCAATAAATAAATGAATTCATTTTATAATATTATAATAAATTAATAAACTATTTTAAAATCTAGAGTGCCTATATATATTTTACAACCGACTATATACAAATTACTCCCTCCGTCCCGCTATATTCGTCCACTTTTGACTTTTGGAATTGTTCATCTAAGCACTTTGACTCATCAAATTCTCTCAATGTGTAAACCTAAATATAGTCATGTATGATCTTGTTTGATTTGTCTTAACATATAGATTATTAATATATAATTTCTATAATTTTTTAATATACAAATTATAAGATAAAATGGATTTAAAAAGTACATTAGATGGCGTGTAAAAATGAAAGTGGATAAATACTGACGGAGGTAGTATGATATGTACAGACAAGTAGTACCTATTTTAAACTAAAAGAGCATTCATTTGGAAAAAAACGTGGTGTTCATTTTGAATTAACATAGTCCTCATTCTGAAATAACGTAGTATTCATTTTTACACATTTCTTCATTACAATTATATTATAAGAAATCATCCAATATAGCACCATTAAGAAATACAAAACACACATCTAGCACTCCCATCCCATTTACTCGTTTATAGCACCTCATCCGTGTTTCTCATAATCAATATCCCCATTTTACCCTTTTGTTTTCGGTTTCCCGTCAACTACGCATTTGGTGAAACCATTTCGCGCACTCCCCCTCACCTGCGTAAATTCAGGAGGGAGTTAATCATCAGCCGTTACAACCTCCTCTCCCTATTACGGTGCTAAACAAACAACAATGATCATCATTCCCCCACCTTCGAAACCAGAGATCCGTAGGCATCGTCTTTACCGGATTCAGTGCCAAACACACTCTAGGGTTCATGTTATACAGTCCAAGTCCAGATTGAAGCGAAGCATCCAAATTAATAGCTGCAGAGATTCGCCGGAAGCATTCGTCACCCACTGCCTCAACCGAGACACTCACATTTTCTTTCAGGTTCAGTCTCTATTTCACCTTTGCCCCATGTTTTCCATCTCTGTCCCAATTCTGAAATTTGTAGTCTTTTTTTCGTTCAATGGCTAGTGTATATTCAACTAACCGGATAAGTAGAAGTATATAATCTTCTTTATCTACCAGTGTTTGTGGTTCTTTGAAAAATGTTCTGTTTCTATTCTAGACCAGTACCATTGTTCTGCGCTCATTTCCAAGTGACCCAACCTAATTAAGTTGTGCTGTAGTAAAAAATTTGATTTTAGCACTATAACAGCACTGATTCATACTATCCAGCAATGCCCATTCGAAATGAGTGATTTTCAATTTTATTTAATATTGGCTCCCTGCAATGACATCTTCATGTATAAGCTCAATGGATACAATTCGTAATGTTAGCTGTACTTTAGTTTGGCACCCAAAAAATCACCACTTTCAAAGTAAAATGTTCTCCTCTGCACTTGCATTTTTCTTATGGCAGCCGAATGAATATGTCAAGTTTTACATGCTCAACTACTCATTCACTGTGTCTTTCCTTCCAAATTTTTTTTTCTAAATCACTTAACTCAGCAGTTTTCTCAACCTATCTCACCATGTCATTTTCTCTGTTCAAGGTGCTGCATACATGGATTCAAATATTAAGGTATTGGTGTGTGTCGATCGAACATGGGATACTCTTGAAAATTTCACTTCGAAGTACGATACTGTCATTCATGTCCCTTCTTACTGCTCTCTGTGCTCGCTCATTGACACTGTTAAAGCAGACATTAGTATGGATTGGTCTCAAATTGATATTCGTTTCTCCTACATTGTTGCGATGTGTCCACCGCCTATCATTATAGCGGATGATTCTGAACTACTTTTTTATTTGAAGTTGAAGTGCCACAAAAATGAGATGTCATACCTCCCATTATGCATCGAGTTTTTACCTAGTGCCAAAGCTAGTCCTCCCAGTGCTTTACCCAACCCCTCCTCAGCTCCTGATTCAGTATGTGAAATGGCCAACACTCCACTTTCAATGGCGTCGACTCCAAAGCAAACGTGGCAAACCAGCTCAATCTGCATTCCAAATGAAATCCCCAATGGAATGTCTGAACCCTCAAACGATAATGCCTTTCATGGAGATCATGAGTTACATAATAATGTTGTGTTGGATGGAATTTCGAATATTTCAAAACATCCATATACTCAGGCCCCTCACTCGTCTCATGCTGATACTCCATCTCTTAAAAAATCTCTTAGCTTCAATGACAACACAAAACGAACCAACCGATGCAAACGTAAGAGAATGCCGACTAATGCAGTGGACGCAATTTCACATTATCACCCAACCACTATTCAAGTTGATAGCATTTACAAGTCTAAGGAAGACCTTTGCCACCATCTCCAGATGTATGCAGTGTCGAATAGCTTTCAGTACAAGACAAAGAGGTCAAACAGGACAACGTTGCATGTTGTATGCGTTGACGACCGGTGTTCATGGGCAGTTCGTGTTGTTAGTCTCGATAATTCTCCACTATTTCAGATACACAGGAAAATCATTCTATTTTAGAGAGAATTTGAATGTAAACATATTTAAAAGAGTCCCCATAGTATGTTCTTACTTTAAAAAAAACTCAAGCATTCTGGAATCACACACTGCCCCCCACCCCCACCCCCTCCACCGTATACAAGGATGTGCACTTCCACACAGTACACTTCCTACATTTTTAACAACATCAAAGCACAACACACACATTGCCATTCTGCATTTCAATCCCAATTAAACACAAATTTCAATGCAAAACATATTACAAAACTTTGACACGCGCCCTCACTTCCATACCTCTTTCCACGCATAACACCCACTGCATCAACTAATAATTAAATGGCAGTGTGCAATCTACGTCACATGTCCCCGGATTTTCACCCACAACTCCCTCGCATCCACCACACTTCCAGTTTATCCAACAATCCAAAGCACACTAAACACATTCACTTTACACAATATCAAACAATTTTCTGTCCCAACTTATCTGCACTTCAAAATCCCAAACAAAAATATCCCCCCCACCCTGTAACCTGTATACGTTCCCGTTTTATGAACAATCAAAATACCGACTGATCATTTGATAAATATCTTGTTTCTGTAGGTTTGGCTCATATCATTCCTGCCCTGTTGATTTTCGGGAAGGAGATCACAGACAAGCGACGTCAGCATTCATAGCTGACCTAGTCCGCCATCGCTACGTGGATGCTACAAGAAAACAGTACTCTCCTAATGACATACGGGACGACATGCGGCGGGAGTTTGGCATTGCAATGTCATATAGGAAAGCACAGCTCGTGAAACAGAAGGCATTGAACAAATTGTATGGAACCGATGAAGAATCATACCAACAACTACCATCCCTGTGCTATATGTTGGACACAACGAACCCTGGCTCTTCAATCCACTTGGCTAGGTCTGAGGATCACATATTCAAATATTTGTTCTTCTCTCTAGCCCCTTGGAGACAAGCATGGGATCACTGCGCTTCGGTTCTAGTCATTGATGGAACGTTCATGAAATCTTATTACAAAGGAACATTATTAACCGCTTGCTGCCAGGATGCTATTAAACAACTTGTCCCCATTGCCTTTGGAATATGTGATGCAGAAGATAAGGAATCATGGACGTGGTTTCTAACTCAGTTGAAAACCTCCTTGACGGCGAGACATGATCTTTATATCGTGTCTGACCGCCACGAAGGTATCATTCATGCCAATCAAAACGTATTCCCCAACGCAGGACATGGGTTCTGCACTGAACACATTGCCCAAAACATGTGTGTCAAATTCAGAGGCCCTAAAGAAGACCTAACCTGGATGTTCAGGAAAGCTTCACGTGCAACAACCGAGGTGGAGTGCGAGGAGTATCTTCAAATGCTGGACGAGCAAGACCATCGCATACGTGCATACCTCTCAAAAATTGGTCAAACAAGATGGGCACGCTGTAAAAGTGGGCCACACCGGTTCTCCGTGATGACTTCCCATGCGGTTGAATCAATGAACAATGTCAACAACTCCGCACGCGAATACCCCATTTCCAAGCTAGTCGATTTTATTCGTGAAAGGATGCAGAAATGGTTTCATGAACGATTTCAGGCAGCTTCGTCTACCACAACCATTCTACCAAAGAAGCTTGAGTCGGAGTTAATATCACTACAACGTGATGCATTTAAGATGAAGGTAACGTTATTTAATCATCAATACCCCACACGCTTTTAATTTATCAATTTATACTGCACTACACTTTCACATTTTTTTACCTTCATCTTCCATTTAACATTCATAATTCGTACAGGTCAAGCCAGCCTGCCCATACGAGTTCAAGATTGTTGACAGGTGGACGCGAAGTTTTGTGGTCAACCTTAGAGACAAGACGTGTACATGCGATAATTTTCAATTGGATCAATTTATCTGTGTGCACGCCGTAGCCGCAGTTGCATCCCGTCCAGGATTGTCATGTTACAATTTCATCTCACCTTATTACAAACGTGAATCATTGCTAGCCACCTACAGCGGTATTGTGCACCCATTAGGTGACAAGTCTTCGTGGGACATCCCGTCCGGCGTCCAATCAATACCGTGCAGGCCCCCATCATGCAGCAAGCGCCCTCGTGGCAGGCCAAAGAAGCGAAGGCTACCGTCCATTGGTGAATTCCATTATGCAAACCGTCGGAAAAAACAGAAGTGCACCCGCTGCTTGAAGACAAGACACAATATGAAAACATGCAAAAACCCAATACCAGCGTGACAATTCATTATTTTTTAAATAAATGACTGCGTTGCAATCAAATTACCTCCCATAAATAGTGGAAGACATAACACATCCTTTTTAAATGTAATTGGATGGGGACACAGTGCTTGTTAGGTTTCATTGTTTGAATCGTTAACAACCTCACCTCTTATGATCTACACCTTATTAAACCCTTTTTTTTATGATGTTGCAATGTGTAAAGAATAATGTTTATTAATCTGTCGATCCTTGTCAATTTTCCCCCGTTAAGATGTTGTACGTATTCGCAATGTAACTTATACTCTTGAAAGGACAGTGACACACATACTGCCCTGTGGGCGTATAAAAATAAGGCTAGGCTTTAGACACTGCCAATAACATAACATGCCAAACCAACACACCCACTGCCAATAACCTAAGCCGCCAAACTAATATACGCTGGCAGAGTAAAAAACACCACACCCATGCAGCCAGTGATATGGCTGTTCACAAACACAACTAAAAACCTACTCATACATACACTGCACATGACCCCCCCGATAAGAATGCCAACCTAACACTGCATATACCTACATTCCGTCGTTGCAACACAATGCGTCGAAACCACCACTCCACTATCCCGGAAAAAAACAGAAATAACCGTACTCATCCAACCCCAAAATACCAACTTCATTCTTACATAGCACAAATCTGCCAAAAACATTAACTTCCCAAATTCAAATACCAAAGTTCTAAAATCGCTCAACAAACCAGCCAAACCAACAATTTTAGATTATCAAGGGATTTCACCCTGCGATGAGTCTGAGTTGTATACAACCATTACTTACCCACACACATATTGGCCCTGAGCCATTTACACGCGATTCTTACCCCCAACCCACACTGTCACACCCCGCTACAAGACTCACACTGCACACCCACCTCTAATCACATAACCTTAAACTGTGCGGAAAACACAACCACCCTGACTTCACAATCACAAGTACCATACATTTTCTTACAGCTCCTTACATATATATTGCCCTTTGAAAAATTAACCATGAATAGTAGCCCGAACATTCACGTCCCACACCCCACCCCAAACTCACCGTGCGACCTAACCCACACTACCCACCCCCAAACGAGGTAGTGTATCCACAAGCCCAGGCAGTGTAAACTCCCATACATGCTGTCTCATATCAGTATTAGACCCTTAAGCATACAAATCCCCCCCAAACATACAGTGCCAAGCAACACACACTCATAAAATGCACACCAAAGATACCCCAATTGGAACATAAAACATCAGTCAGAAAACGAATAACCAATTACCCAAAACATTACAAACCGTAAGTTACCATCCACCACTAAAACGGTGTTCGACTTGAATAAACAAAAAAAAAGTCAGTGTCTGCCCAAAAAAAAGCACACCAGTCTTCTAAATGAATCAAACCATAACCAATACTGCCAGACACCAAATCCACATCCTAACATAACATGTCGTGCAAAATCACACCAAATGCCTATTTCTATTCGGCCTTCTCTTTTTGCTCCTTACTGTAAACCATGAGCTCCGTAGTCATTTTAACCCGATACGCCCCCGTGTCGTGTGAATGCACCTCAACGATGTCCTTGTCCATCATCAGGTACTCCGCAAATTTCAGCATAAACATTCCACAGTTACACCTGCATTTTAAAACACAACGTTAAGCCCTACTAACCATATGCATAGTCTGAACAAACTAGAATATACCCTCCCTCCCCTATTCAAAGTGTAAATTCCCCACTCACCCGTCATTTTGTTGCGGACAACCATCAACTGCCTTGATACAGAACTTTCGTTTGCCCATCGGCCCATCAGAGTGCTCGTCGTACACATTCAACATATCAAGGAGGACCGGAAGCAATTCTGTAATACATTGCACATACGTATTTAAAGCCCTGCAAATCTTTCCCTTCTTTCCTTTGGAATCGTACACCCGTATAGTCCTTCCTTCCACTTCTAGGACAAGTAAGAGCCAGTGGTCACCGGTATTCAGGGGCATATACACGAAATCACACTCAGACCATGGCCTGGCATATTCGCGCGCCAATCCCTTGACCTTGCTAGTTAGGTTCAGATTATTGATGACATCCTCCTTCTTTGCCCGACCAACATTAATCAATTCTTGGTGGTTATGCAACCCCTATAAGAAATACGGACTCGTTGTCGTGTACATCTGCAGGTGATTGTACTGTCTACCCTTCACTTCCAGGAAATACATTGCTATCTCAACATGCTGTAGAACATAACATGAGGGACTAAAGTCATTATTCACATAAAAAACCAAAAAAAAAACCAAATCTCTTATCTTTCACAACCATTAAACATATACAAATCACACTGCCATAACCTCACCCTCAGCCATTCCCTCAATGCCACGTCCTAAATTGTTGGAGTCGTGCCCTGATGGCCAACTGTTTATCATTATTCTATTATGTATAGGCAGATATAATATGTTTACACATCTCATGCTAATGTAAACAAATATTATATTCCTAGATTTATATTTAAAGATGTTTATCAGATAGTGTTATTCTGCTGATGAGGCTAACATCTTGAAATAAATATTTATCTAAATGTCCATAGTCGAGTATTAACGAGAGTGGGATATCGTTAATGCATGTGAGACTAGTGTGTGTTGGATGTTTGACTTAGTCTCATGGTCAATGACGGTGTGCTCGCATCCGCACATGGGCAGATATTATCTAGAGATAATAGGATGCCTGACTGACCCATTCTAAAGATGTTGCTTGAATTTTTAGTTCATGCTCTAAGCATCTTTAGCGCGACCACGGGTGTAACTATCCTTCGACTTTAAGTATTACGTTTTCTGCATATGTGAACCCGCATACTTTGATGCATTGTCCAAAGCCATATGAAATAAGGATGGTATACAGGCTTTGTTTTGGGTATGCCGCAACGCGTTTTCAGAAACGTAGATTACGTACATAGGATTTGTCACTACTCTTTTTAAAGAGATTAATGTCTTATGGGGCCCACTGATAAGTTATGACTAAGGAAATTGCATGGCCATGCTGAGATGCTTTTATGACGTCTATTCCTATTAGTCGGACTTGATAAATCAGTGAATGACTTATTGGATACAAGCTGGATTTTATTAATCCCTTGCATTGAGTTTAGACATTGAGACAAAGGGATACAGTTACACGGAGTCTGAGTCGTGGAAAGGTTTTGTTTGTGCAAACGTTTTAACTTATAATCTGGGGGAAATAATGTGTTGTTAGATACCGCTTATTGCTTATAGTATTGGTGCAGAGCCAATACTGTGTCCAGCTTTATAAGTGCCTATACGGGTCACACAATTTGGACAATTTAAGGAGTAGGATTAAACAATGGGATAATAAGTAATTTGTATATTTGTAAAATTGTAAAATAAAATATTTTGGAATATAATATTATATATATAAATATTCGGTTATATATGTGCCGATTAATATATATATATTGTGTATTGAATATTTTATTTTGGTTTGTCATTTTAATTATGAAAATAATTATTTTGACATAAACTATTTGAAGTATATTTTATACTTGTTTAAAAATTACATGGGTATTTTATTTGATTTAAAATTCATTTTATATTAATTTTTGGTGTTAAATAAAATACACTTTGAACATTTAAGTGGAGAAGAATTTTGAAAATCCTTCTCATATCATTCATTCGGCCATGATGAGATTGTGAAGAATAAAATTTCATTGATTGATTACTTAGTGGAGTTAATTGATTTGTCATTTAGCTAATGACAGATTAATATTTGTTTTCTATATATGCACCTCACGCACCATTAAAACAAGTGGAGAAGAAAATCATCTTTTTGCTTTGAGTTTCAGCCATTACACTTTAGTGAGAGAAAATATTATTTTGGTTCCACATATATCATTTTGTGTATATAAAATATCTATAATATTTTCTAAATATTCTTGGAAATATTTTCTATAAAATATACAAGATTATTATTATCCCAAATTTTAATCTTTATATTTTATACTACTATAATCTTTACTAGCATAAAGATTGTGGTAGACTCCGGCGTTGTTCGTGTGTCAAAAATGGAGACCGGACGCTTGAACGGTTACGTTTGCATTTTCAACGCTCTTCCAACGACTTCTTCATTTTTACAGCTTACGGAGAAAGGTATAAATTTCTTACTCACTATATGTTTTAGTACGTGATTCTGGGCAAGATAATCATGTTAGGATATTAAAATTTATATATTCCGCTGTCTATCCTTGCATGGTTATCTTTCATAAATAAAATCATCCTACATCCCATATGACACCCCACAAACACTATTTATCCCATTAAGCCCCTCACACTTCCCACATACATGCTTACAAGTCCGCTTTCCAAAAAACTCCCCACAATCACATTGTCAGTAAAAAACAAAAAAACAAACAGAAGTCAAATGATAGTCAAAAAACACAAAGCGATGCCACTTCACAAACCCAATCCGATGCCCCCAATTTTAAAGCTACGCACATCGCCAAAGTTTCTGGTACGTCGCAAAAAAAACAACCTTAAAGAACCTCAAAATAAAACTTACCGTGCTGCGTAACCACTCAGTGTTTGTAAACAGCTCATATATCCATGTCTTGTTCTCCACAGTAAAGCCATCCAGGACAATGGGATTGTTCGTCATGTTCTCCACCTTACTTATATATTGTAGAAATAGTAAATATAATTTTATTTGGACATAAAACATCATTTTATGATTGATAAAAGTATATTGTAATTTTTGAATGTATTATTTCCTATTTTGAATTTATTGTATTTATTTAGGTGAAAACCGAAAATAAATATGGGAAAATTCAAAATGAACTTTATTAAACTTGGAAATATTATTTCTAAGTTGAATATGGTTGTTGATAAATATATTGCTCAAAATAATATTAGTTAGTAATTAAATAAATATATATTTATATATGTACTCGGTTTTATTACCGAAATATTATATATATTTATATATTTGTATTTTAATTACATAAATGACTAATATATATTTTGGAAAGTCATATCTCAGTAAGAAAAAGAATGTTTTTCAAAATATTAAATTTTTTTGTAATTTAATATTTTCGAAATCAATTTAAATGGCTTTTTATAACTTATTGAGATTTAACTAATATATTTTGGAAACAATGATTTATAAATTTTGGAAATTTTATTTCCAGGTTTATAAATATTAAAAATAACTACTGGAAG